TAGCCCCACAGTGGTATGTGTGTGGACTTATAATGCTGGAAACTGGGTTTTGATACCTGTGGTGGGCAGAGGACAGATTGTGTAGCCTAACTACAAACATCATCTTCGGTATTAACAGATTTTTAAACTAAATGTGCAGGGTGTCTGAAAAGTCTGGAACCATAGACATGTCAATGATTTTTACAGAATGTATTCCACATTCTGTTGTAATTTGAAACAAGTCTGGAATAAGAGCAGGAATAACTTGACCTTCTCATGCTTTGATAGCACCATAATCAGTTGCATGTATTTGAAAATATGAATAGCACCAAATCACCTATGGTTCCAAACTTTTTTAACACCCTGTAAATTTCATGTACCTATTTGTTTTTATCCTTTTTTTTTTTTTTTACTTGTTTCATTTTCATAAATTGAAACTGATTTCTTTGTACTCATAGTAATTTGGTTATAAATAATAATGCATATTTTAAGCTTTAATTTTTTCTAATTTACAGAAATAAGTTTTATACTCGCAGCATTAAACAGCAGATAATGGACACACATTTGAAATCTGATGCTGAATGCATGAGAAAAGATCCAGATAAACAAGTAACTGAAATAGAAAACAGTCAAACATTGAATCTCATTGGTGAGCAGGCAGTGTTATCAGTGGTCAGTAACTCATCTACAGGAACAACACCTGTAACAAGTGATATTCCAATCACATATGTAGTGACAGGTTCGTCCAGTTCAGAGATAGTTCAGCTTTGTGAAGGGGAAAAAACTGGGACAGGGCAGCCTGTAACACCCATGATATCTACTATGACCTTGGACGAAGAAAATTCACCTGCCCACTTCCTTCTGGAACGTCTAGCATCAGGTGGGTTTGTATTAAAAAAAAAACTTATTTCATTGGAATAGCTAGCATCATATGGGCTTGTATTAGCATTCAGTTTCATTGGAACAGATTGCATCACATGGGCTTGTATTCAGTACATTTGGTGTCATTGGAACAGCTGACATCAGGAAGGCTTGTATAGAAAATTTTTGTTTTCAGTATTCACACTAGCACTTGAGTTTCTTGATTCTCGGGGATGGAACAATTTGGAAAAATGGGGTCTTTTATATATTTTTTACTAAAACATAGAAAGAATTGAGAGAGCTGGCATAGGGCTGGGTTTTATAGTACATCATAATGTTCAGTCGATTATACATCTTTTTAGCAATTAAGTTTGTGCAATAAATGTTAAGTCTTACTCATACAGCTTGAATCAAGTAAGTGTTAATCATTTTGGAGCAGATCGAATGTACAGAATAAATGCCTCAGTCATATTTTAATACAGCAGTCCTCTTTAATATTGTTTTATACATACCATCTATTGGTTTAAAGATTTGCAAAATCTACTGCTTTTTTAGCAAATTTGTAATGAAATATATTTAATTTGGCAGAAATGAGAAACATAAGTGATATTAAGATTAAAGTTTAAAATACCTACCACAGTAATATAGAAATAAAATAAAATTGAAAACTCCAAAGTTCATTCAGCCTCTGATAGGTCAGAAGCTCAGTTAGTAATGTAGGTTAAATGTCACAACCAGTCAGGCCAAAACATGATCTTTAACAGGAAGAGTGTTTAATCTATAGGTAGTATACATATTACTTCTTAGAGTAAAATGGTGAAAGCATTTTCTCCTTTACTGCCCAAGTGCTTGTGATTATCAGATCCATCCAGCTTTTATAAGACATTAGCCAAGACACCTGACAAAGCTGTGCCCCTGGCATCAGTGGTATTTTGCATATACATTAACTGAGTGTGTAACACCTACACAGAAAAATACTCTTGAATATATCTAAATAACAATACATTCTTTTCTAGTAAAGGACAGGTTAATAACTATCAGTTTTTGATTTTCACAATATATCATACTGGGTGAGCAATAATAGGTTCATAAAAGTTGGGAGAAACAAATACTTTTAAAATGTTTGAAAATATTAAGGTTAGAAGTACCATTAAGTAAAATTTGCTTCTATATTACAACATTGTGCAGAGTAAACAACAATTGTTTTGTCAGGTGGATCACACATGGAACCTTTGAATGGTGAGACAATCCAGATTGGAGTTGACCCTAGTACTTTAGTGGGTCTTAGTCAAGAGAATGGAGTCCCTGTGTTGTTGGAAGTGACTGAAAATCCTGGAAGTGAAGTCATACATTCAAGAGGAGACTCAGAAGCTGTGATGACTTCAATATGTACAGGTTAGGATCTGTGTCATCTATTTAGACATAATAATTTAACCCCTTTCCTTCCGGGACCATTTTGTCTTATCATGAGAGCAAAATCGCATTTATGAATTGAAGAATTAGAGAACTTTTATTGGTTTTCAGATTTTATTTTTGTAAATAATAGTATAATGTTCAATTATTTGTACTAAATTGCATTATTTAAAGAAGTGTGAAAAGAAATTTAATAAAAAAAATCCCAAAATATGTTAGAACTATAAATAAGTGCCCTCTATAGAAAAACATTTTTTTAATGTTTTTTAAAAAATTTTCCTTGCACTTTACCACTGGTTCTGCCATCTGTAAATCAGTGTCTGGATGTGTTAAACTTCAGTTGTAAAACTTTAAGCCAATCCTAGTCAAAGGTGTCAATTTCGGTACCATGTTATTCCAATGGTACTTTTTTATAAGCCTTAGAAAATTTGTTTCTGGAAAAAACTGCATAGGATGTATGTGATTTTTATTATTTTTCTATAGTAGCTTAAATAATGCTACATTGTATATATATATTATTATTATATTGAAAAATGAACTGAAAATAGATATATTTTTAGGAAAGAAGTTGATCCACAAATGTTAGGGTTAAGATCTATCGAGTGGCGAGTGCATGGTCTTTACATGGATTAGGCTTAGTGCTTTGAACTGATGGAGTTTGTGATGTTTATATTCTTTTGCATTTAAGTTAGCAGTTTTGAGTTCAATAATTTAGCCTAATTTTATATTTATTTCATAATATTAATAATAATATGATTTAATATTTAGAATGATAACCTACCAGTACCACTTCAATAGTTTTAGGCTTATGATAAGAAATTTATATTTTTCCTTCTTATTATCATTACTTAGTAAGACCCACATTTCTGTTGTTTTTATAATTCAAACAGACTAACTGATATATATAAAAAGTTTATTCTGATATTTTGCAAAGGGTTTAAAAAAAAGTTAACTTACATAAAAGTATGTACAAAAGTTACAAATCGAGCTAACATACATACAAAAGGAGCATCAATGTATGGATAAACAGTATCAAACTGTTGTAAGTTATGCACTGAGAATATACGTATAGCTGTATGCAAATCATTCTTAGATGCAAAAATATATACATAGTAAAAGCTTCACTGAGATATTATAATCACATCAGTTTATATATCAAGAACATTTGTTCACTACTTATGAATATGTACACTGAAGACTTTATACATGTTTATACAAATGCAAAAATAACCTAAACACTGTTACTAAGCAATTATCTGAAGATGAATAATTCAAGTTGTACATTATTCAGTGAAATATTCAAAATTTTATACATAATTCTTGAACACAAACTAAAACACAAAATATGATAAAAATAGTAAAACTGAGCACAGTAATATACAATAAATACTATTCAGTATAGACAAAAATTTAATTTGTGTGCTCTTGCAGAAGTCTTTGTTGAAATATTTTCATTTTTTTGTGGCTGATAAGTGCAATTTTTAGAACACTAATTAACAAATAGAATTGCATTTAAAACAATTGAAAATACCTAAATGCAATGCTGAGTGATGATGTTAAAAAATAAAAACATAATGTTATAAACACCAAACCTCTATTAAAGATATTTTAGATTTTAAGAAAGTGAAAGAAGTTGGAAATAAAAGGAATCAGATTGAGTTTTTACTTTTCTTTCTAATCATAACATATTGACTAGATTTGGTAGAAAGAAAAGTTAACTTCTTTGAAGAGTCTTCAAAGTATGGTACTCTTCAAAGTGCTTTACACAGAGATGAACCTTGCACTGCTTACAGGTCAACTTAATTAAACCTGTGTGGAGGCACAATATACACCTTTTTTTTTTCTTCTTGCAAATGCTCGAAAATACTTTCCAGGTGAGAGCCATTCCTGTGCAACTGCCAGAATTGGTAAATGGATACTTGACAAACAATAAGGCCCTTCTCTACTTTCAATTACAGGTTTCACAAGAGATTACAATAATTACAAATGGAAGTCCTTCTGTTTGTACTTGCTATTTTCAGTTACCTGTTTGAAAAGAATAAAAGAATTAACAATAGAAAGGTCAACAAGTCTAAAGAAAAGCTTCTTATACCATTTGACAGTCTTACATGGTATGGAATAATAGTTAAGAAATTGATCATTAAGACCAACCCCTCCACTCTACTTATTGTAATCCAACATTAGCTGTGGCTTGCTAATCATGTCACCCTCTCTTCTTGTCACTTTCTTTACTGTAGCATTATGCATTGTAGAGCTGAACATCTCTTTTATTAGTCCACTTCACAGCAGTCATTGAGCCACAGTTAAAAAACTGTGACTCTCCCATTTTTAACTTACCTGGAAACATGTCTGGGAAGTGGGCCCTGTCCTTCCTACAAGTGCCACAAGCATAAGTGTCAAGTGAAAGCAACTTATCAAACAGAGTTGGGGAAATAAAAGTTATCAGTAAAAAGAGAGTGCCCACTTCCAAGGTACTTTTCTCTCAGAGTCATTATAACTGTGCTAGCTTGGAAGGTACAGATCCCTCTTTACCAGAGTATATTCTAAAATTTAAACAGTATCCAATTATGGCTTCTACCAGAACCCAAAGCTTGATTCCCCCCCTACTTGGTAGGCTTGCTAGGTAGATATTGCTTGAAAGAAATTCTGCCCTTTGTTCCCAACATTTATTCATCAACAGAAAGTTCCCTAGAAGGATTATAGTGAGCTGTAAAAGCTGTTAGTAGATGATCAAGCACAGGTCTGACTTTGAAGATTTATCATTCTTAGCATCAGTTTTAGGTTATTAGTATTGTCATTGAAATGAAAGAAGTGAGCAATAGTTAGGAATTTTTCTCTGGAAAATATTAAAGAAAACCAGGGAAGATGAAGTGAAGGAGTGGTAGACCAATAATCTGTAATAGATGGTAAGCGAGTTATGCCTATAGAAATAGTTACACCAATAAAAGCTAAAATTTCTTCACTATATCTCAGCAGTTTCCTTTTCTTCCTGACATTGTTGTTTGGGTGTTCCCCTTGCTGGTGTGCAAATCTATTTGTTTCTTAAGCAATCTTGGTGACAATGCTGAGTGAAAAAAAAAAAGTTGAAAAAAATCAAGAGGAGTCTGACACCTACTTGCTTAATGGGAAACAGGCTCTCTTCGGATGAAGCCCTCCAACAATCTGGGCTGCTCATCTTTGAGAACTTCCCATTTCCATTCTGCACTACAGGCCAGGGGCTTTTCTTGTGTCTTCTTGCCTCTAGCCATTTTGGAAGTTGATGTAGTGTTGGTCATGGGAAGATCACTAACCTCAGATTGTTGGTGGTCATGAGGAGAGTCTTCTTCCCTTGAAGGTAAGTCAGGCTCCTCAAACAAAAGTGATTCCAGAAATGCTGGTTCTTGCTTCTCTCCATTTTTATTTGTTGTGGCTTCTTCTTTCAATCAAAAAAGATGCACTTCTTCAGAGGAAGAAATAAAAAACAATTTCAGTGCTTCATCTAAAGAAAGTATTTTCTTTTTCCTAAGCATTGAAATATCTTCCATTTAAGAAAATTACTATGCTATTAATATTCAGTTGACATAATGAAAACATGATACGTATACATTTGAATTATTGAGCTTTGACTTTAAGAATATTTAACAAGTGTATATTTTGTTTGTATGTGTATGGACATAAGCAAAATCACAAAATAAAGTAAAAACTAATTTATATGATGTACAACTAATGAATCTGATTTACATATTTATCATCGAAAGTAAGATAAACACCATGGAAATTTACTAATTGCGTGTTATATAAAAAAAAAACATACATCTTACTTTGTGTGATATCTAAATAGGTGTTGAGAGATTCTTCAATCTATTTCTATATTCTTGGTATCCAGGAGACTACAAATAAATGCAAGAAATCATTATTCTGTGCAAGGAGCACATAGAACTAATACAAACAAACAATTTATACATAAACTTGTAAATATATCTGACATTATATTACTGAAAAATATCACTCCATGTATGATGGTGATATATATGTGTATAAACTAAAACAAGATCACAAAATAAAGTGCAAGCTAATTTCAGTAAAGGAATCTTGTTTAATTATTCACCCTTATCAACATAACATCTTTGAATATGTATAACTGTTATGCATAAAAAAAGCACATCTTACCTTAGATGAAATTTAAAGTGCTCCAATTTCACGATTTCAGCGATGATTTCAGCAAAGACTTGCAAGTTGCTGTGCATGGGTTCTCTTGGTAAATGAAGTTTTTATTCCTGTAAGAGCCTTTTATGTATGTGTTAAAACTCAGTGTACAAATGACAACAAAAAACCCATATGTTGGTTGTGAAACAGACTGAACACATTGTCTCAATAATACAAAGGAAGCTGTGACATTCTCACAGTTGGGGTGTCACTACATTGAAGTGCTTAATTTCTCGATTTCCAATATAAATCTTGCCTATAATGAGAGGAATTTGACCTAGACTAATCTTTTAAGTGCTATGAAATGATTTTCTTTGTAATTTATTGTGTCTTTATCCTTTGGTAATCTCTTGTGATAGGATGTATGATGTAACTAAAGTCAGGCAGTGTTATTCAAACCACCTGTATGGTAGGCTATTACATACATTCACTAGTAGTGGAAATTAAAGTTTTGTCCGTGTAGTGAAACAACATACAAGGACATGATATTCAAGTACCAAAAAACTTTCTTACTATCATATCTACAATAATTTAAATGCTGAACGATAGTGACTCCCAACAGGGATGAGAGAGTTTACGGCAAACATACGAAGTTCACGCTGGTAATCTTAGTTTTTTTCGGCACAATAAACAAAAGTACGGTTGCAATGAAACATAAACTTGAAATAAAAATACATTTATGAAACAAAATTAAAATGTTTTTTATGTACATATATATAAATGTGAAACCCTATTTAAAAATAAAAAATACTTGTTTATTGTTTAGGTTTACTTAGAAATATTTTCAGTCTTGTATATGACTTGAAACCATAAGGAGAGTACGTGATTATTAAAAATTTATAAATAGACAAAATTTACATTTTATGGATGATAAAAAGTTTTTAGAGATTTTAAAATAATGTACTAAAACATAAAAAGTAAGTAAGAAGTTCAAATCTGGCACAAATATAAATATTGTAATTATATCTTATAAATACCATTTCCTGATGTAATTTTCCAAGATATTAAAGATGATAATGTAAAAAAAACTAAATTTATCAAAAGTAACAGGCTTTATGTTTCTTAAGCTACGTGCATTTATGAAAGTTTTTATGAAGTTTCAAACAGTTTCATCCACTAGTTTTATTGTTGGAATGAAATATAGCAAGACTTGCATTGGCTACACAGAAAGTTAGTAGCTGGTAGTGATTGGGTTAAACATAAAAATCACAAGGGAACTACACAACCTGTTTTTTCTCCACATAATTTCTGAAAAACTATATCCAGCTTTAATTATATTTTATTCTAGTTGGAGTGCACTTTGCCCATGCAATGTTTCTACAAATTAGTAAACATACTTAAGAAAATGAGAACAGTTTAAGTCTGAAGTTAAACCAAAAAAGGAAAATTTAGAACCCTGGGTTTTTATATTATATCACTTGCTTATGCTGAATTTTTGAGCCACTGATACTCTGTACTGGTAAAAACAGTATTTATATTATGAAAATAACAAAAAGTGCTATGCAGTTATGTGAATGCTATATCTTTTGTGCTTATAGGTTTGTAGATTATTTTCTAGTTTTCTTTTGTATAAAGATTCTAAAGCTTAATTTATTCATTTGGTGTGGAGATTTTTTTTTTTATAGGAGAAAATATCTAGTTTAACCTATGAATACAAAGTCCAAATAAAATTCTTCTTACATCTTTTCACCATGTTTTAGGTTGAAAATTTTTCTTCTACATAATTGGTTAGCTTTAGCTGTTGTATCTGTCAAATTTCAAGTTATTATTTGTTTATAATGTCCTGACTGGGTACAGTACTTATATTTTCTAGTCCTTGGATATGATTTGTTTTGCTTATAGTAGGATCAGTCGACCAATGAGAAAAGCAAGAAGAAACAGATAACACACAAAATATTTCTGTAAAATTCTCCTGTCTCATTTTATCTGTCTTGTAACATGCTGTTGTCATACAATCACATTTATACACTTCAAATATCTGTACACATAATATTTCTTTGGAGTGAATATGAACACTCATTATTTAATTTCTGTTGTGCATATTGGTGTATAATAGACAATTTAAAACTAGTAATAAATTACTTTATAACACCAAATTTTTTATTTTTCTTTAATTGAACACTCAATGTTTTGCCTACAGCCTCTTTAGTAGTGTTCCATTAAAACACAAGCAGTAACAAATTTGGTATTATAAGGTTGTTTGTTACTAGTTTTTGACTATGACCAGTGGCATAAGTCATTGTAGCTGGCTAAGATCTTATGGTTTAAATGGGGAAATACAATAAATTTTTTTGCTCTTAAGTATATAGTTGATTGTTTTGTATTAAATTCTCATTTAAAAATTGTTTAATCTAGAAATATTAAAAACCAGTAAATGTGCAAGCAGATTTTAGCATTAGGTTGAAATATAAGTAATTATAGGTCTGAAATTTGCTAACAAAAAGAAAACAAGTTCCAGTTGTTGAGTAAGAAAAAAAAGATTTTCCTGTTAGATGTTTGAAGTCTTTTATCAAAGATGTGTTATCTGTTTTTTTAGCTAACTTTTCTGCTGAATAAGCTTTATAAGAAATGTTAGCTTTTGAGCAAATTAACTACTTGCATGGGTGAGGGTAAAAGTGCACATGCCACAACCTTTTAGAGTTCCATTCAACATGGTGTTATTTAGTTGATGCCATTTTACCCTACATTGTTGATTTAGCCAAAGTTTATGATAGAGGAGAGTAAATACAAGATACAATATATGGGGATAGTGAACAAAATGTATATATATACATTTCTGAGGTTCTAGAGGTTATGCAATAGCAATATGCAAACTATATGATGGACAAAAGTATTTTTATTCTTCACATGAACATCACCTTGTACTCCAATCTGACTGAGTCAGACTGACAACATTAATACACAAACATATCTTGAGTACAACTGCTTTTGTTCTAATTTGTTTTGTACAGCAGACTTGTACATTTTACTATAAGCTTGCCATGCTATATATATATATATATACACATTATAAATTTGGAATTATCATCCATATTCCTTCTCCAATACAGGGCCAGTTCAATGGACCAAGCCTGTGTGCATTCAATTCTAATAAAATGTTTTGATATGTTCAAAGTATAACTTTTTTTTTGTCATGAACAACTGTTTTGAGCACCAGAAAAGCTTGCTTCAAAAATTATTTTATTTGATCCAACTTAAAAGTTTGACAATCAATGCAACCCATCCTAAATAGAATATGTTTGCAAAATTAAAAATAACGTTTACCTCGGTGCCTGTTTTCATTGTGAAATATTAGAACTTTTTAAGTTGGAATTCATAGTTGAAAACATGTGTATAAGATAGTTATTACTAAGTATTTTCAAGTTATATATCTTACCAATAATGATTAATGCTTAAACTTATCAATCTATTGAAACAAATTTGATTTATGGTAAAAAGGTCGGCTGACATATTTAATGAAATGGGTTTATGGCAACAAGAGTTATAAACCAATTCTTGATCATATCTAGTTTAATCTTAAAGATGTGTTAAAATAAACTTCTTTTTCAGGCATCCCCTGGTGGGTTATTGGTAAATTTATGGACTTAAAATGCTAAGATCCATGGTTCGATCCCCCATGTTGAACACTACAAATATGCCAATGTGGCTTTGTTTTAAAACAAACATTTTTTCAGGCTAAGCACAGGCTAATAGTCAGTGTAGCAGACTGTGAAGCTGAGGTTGTGTGGTTCGTGTCCTGTTACCACCAAAAAAAACTTTTGAGCCATGGGTGAATTATAAGATTAGTGCAAATTCCACTGTTTAGTCTGACAAGAGTTGGCAGTGAGTAATGTTAACAAGCTGCCTTTCTTATTATTTGTCACTTGAAAATTAGAATGGCTAGTGCAGATAGCCTTTGTGTAGCTTTGTGCAAAATTCAACAAGCAAAGTTTCTTATTCAATCATATTTTTTTATTTTAGTGTATGCTTCTTATCTAATTAAAGAAACTTGTCTGAATCCTGATGATTTAGACAGGTATGAACTTTTATGTCTGATGCAAAGAGAAAAATATATATATATATTTTTACCTTAACAAAAATATTTTGGTCCATGAAACCAAATTTTATTGTAATTCTTGAAAACATAAACTGTTATGTCACTGTCCAATCCTTAAAAAATTCAAACTTACAGTTCTGGTTAATGAGCCAAATACTTAATTCTGGTATCCAAAATAAATGGTATAGTTGTAATCTAATCCTTTAAGGATTAACTTTGTATTTTACTTTTTGATGAGGAAGTATAGTTTCTTTCTATCCAAATTATATGTGAAACGTTTTGGTTTTTGTGGCTGTTTTTATTTATTGTGTGAAAAATACTTGTAATTAATGCAGTGTTATTATTGTAAAAAAGTGCATTATTTAACTTTTCAAATCTTCAATTTTCTTCATACATTTGTAGACTAAAGCTTTATATCTTCTCCTAAAGGTGCATCTTATTCAACACCATTGTACACAATACAGCTTGGAAACTCTGCAACACTCACTAGTGCAATTCATCAGCCATTACAGACTTCTTCAGAAAATCCAGCAAACATAGCTAATGTCATGCATGCTGATAATCAGTCTGTTATTGAGATTCAAGGGGATCACCAACCTCTTCAGCTTTTAAACACAACCACTGGTTTAGAAGATCTAATGGATGTTGTTACAACATACCGATGTAAATTTTGCCGATTCTCTTGTGTATGGAAATCAGGGCTTATGTCTCACATTCGTAACTGTCACATAGAGGCAGCCCAGAAGCTTGAAAGAAGTCCAAATTCAACTGAAAAAACAGGTATATGTAGCAGTGTTTACAGGCTTTAGTTTTAGCTTTTGTTTGGAGATTTACCTCATCTAATTTCATAAGATCATAAAAGTTTGATTTTGTGTATTTAAATTATAATCAGAGTTCTTACTCAGCACAAAATTTATGAAACATTTTTATCTAAAAAGAGTAAGTCACAGATTGGTGAAAATAATAAATATATTAGCTGCTCCAGGAAATGTAGCAAATGATATATATTAATATATTGTGCCTTGTTTCATCTATTAATTATCACAGCAATAGGTCCAGTTTATATATGCATAGGATGATAATAGATTTGAGAAAGTAGTATTCTCTAAAATAAAGCCAAGTTTAATATATGTGTAAATGTAAGCATAAGAACCTAAGTAGTAAATTTTATGTTTCAGAAACTCAGTCTTTTTAAGAAAAATTATGTTATGATGTTATAATCAGAAAGAACCAATTTAACATTAGATTAGAATTATGATGCTCTTATATTTGTAAAAGAAAAATGGTAGTGATACAACGGTGCATATTTGTATAGTATCACTTTCCTTTGATGATTTAAGCAAGCTGAAAACCTTTATATTCATTCAGTTAGCAAGGTGATTTCTTTTTCTGTACATCATAATACCAACTATTATGTTTTATCACATTCAGCAAAAGGATGCAAATTATTTTCATTTCTCACTTATGAAATGAAATGATTACTTTTATTTGATTGTCCTTGTATAAACCATAGATATTCCAAAACATGCATACCTCCGCTGACACTAATAGCTAGCTATTTCACAATCTTCCATCTCTGTGGAAGCTGTCCGTGACCTGATTTGGGGTGAGATGGAGTCCTTTGTACGGCCTGGGGATATCTCTTCGGGAGGTGCTGATTTGAATTTTCATTGTGAAACAGGATATTCTGGGGAGAATTTAGACTCCCTGTTTTCTTCTTCTTTCACTAGAGCTTCCTCATCTAGTCAGCCACATTCTGCCTAATTGGGACTTTAGGGTTGTTTTACATGCTTTATCACATCATCCCTTTGAACCCATGGCCTCCTGTTCACCTTTCCCTCACAGTTTATTTTTTATTGCTGTTAGCTTCCGGATACCATCATTCTGATTTATTTGCCATTCATGTTCAGCAGACTCTCTATCATTCTACCTGTGTTTTGCTGTATCCCGACTGATCACTTACTCCAACATCTCTCTCGCTGCCAGAGTAGGAAACAAATCTTTTTCTCCTATTCATTTACCTGGCATTTCTCATCTTTACAGTAGATCAGACCTGGATCCTTTATGTCCCATCAGGGTGCTCAAATGTTATTTGGCTCATACAGAACCATTTTGGGGCCCTAGGAACAGACTTTTTTATTCATCAGGATCTTACACAGTTCAGGGATTTATCACCTGTTACTTTAACCAGATGGCTTCGGAAGTTGATCCATATTGCCTATTCGGGCTTATATGTTAACGATCGCAACATGCTCCATGGCACCTCTCACCAAATTTGACAGCTATCGATGTTTTTGGCTGCCTGGTTGAACTGTTCTCTAGAAGATATTTTGCAGGCTGGTATGTGGACTTCTTCCGACGTGGTCATGTATCATTCCCTTCACAATTTGGCAGTTTCCTCTTTGATGGCTGTGTTGGCTACTTCTACTAGATTTTAACAGGGAGGTGTGTAACGTGTTATCTGACTTTCAGTTATTGTTCTTTTCTCTTCTAGTGTCCCTATTGATTTCTTTTGGATCCCACTCAGTGGTGAGTGTTGCCCAGTCAGGCATTCTTGTATTTAAATTCCGCACTAGCAACCTTTATATTGGTTCCTGATTGCAATGGGCTCTGTCGAGATGAGGTGTTCTCAATGTGGAATTTTAGCTATTAGTGTTAGTGGAGGTATGTATGTTTTGGAAGTTATCATTTTCCTAAACTGAAAATGTATATCCAAACATACTTATCTCCGCTGACACTCTCCCTCCCTACTAAGAGCTGGTGTTAGTGACTGGTATGAGGTAAGTCACGAAAAAGTGATTTTATTGGCTGCATACAAGTGTGAGGGCCGATGTAAAGATTTGCAAATTAGATATTGTCAAGGGCAGTCAAGTGGGATATATAAAGACTGGAGCAAGCGAACACAATGTTAGATGGCAAAGATGAAGATCAAGAAATAGCTATTAGTGTCAGCGGAAGTAAAAATGTTTAGAAATATATTTTCAGTTTAGGAAGATAACTTTTTTGCGTACCCACACCTTGCTCACATTCCTATGAAATCTATACAGTTCATCACTGCCAGCATACCTTTGAAAAATACTAAGATATTACCTTTGCAATGAGCCCAAAATTATGTTCAATCCAGTTTTATTTTAACCAATAACCTGTTGATTCCACTTATTGCTCATTGCAGTTTGTTTTTAATGTGCATGTTTTCAACTTGCTTTTTGTCTTTTCACAACATAAATGATAATGTGTATTGTTTTTTTTTTCACAGTTTCCTTAGTGTTGATATTTATCTGAGCCCTTTGTAATAGTTTACTTTTAATATGAATTCATGAGCATTTGTACTGTTTTATCTTTTTTTTTTTTCGTTTCCATTTGTGCTACTTCTCATTCTTCTTTCTTGCTTTTAAATATTTATAAAGTTTCTTTCAGTTTTTCATCCAACTTTGCCTTCTTTATATTTACCTTAGCTTTGTGTACAATTTTGTTAGTAGTTGGTGCTCTTGTTTTTTTCTTCATGGCTGTTTTAGAGATTGAATATGTGTCATCCATTTGATACGATTCTTAATTTCTTTCTTAAACACTTATACAGTGTTTTTCACCTTAATTATTCTGTCATTTTTAAAGTTTATGATTTCTTCATAATTTCACATTTATTTGTACTCCATTTTTAGTAATTAGCGTTGTTTTTCATAGTATCCCGAGGCATTTTTACTGGCTATTCTTCACAATTTCATATAATTTTAATATCTTCATTTTCACAGTTTATATCCAATTATAAATGTTTTTAATAATGCATTTTCTTTTCTTGCCAATTCCTTCAGCCAATTTACATTTTTGTAATACTTTCATAGGCTTTTTTTGTACTGCTTTTTTGTTTTAATAATACCATGCTTCATAGGTTTTCATATATTTCTACAGCTTTATCTTCTTGATTATTTTCTTCATTTGTACCTTTTCTTTCAAAATTGCTTATTTTTCTCACACAGTTGTACAGCTTTATCACACTTGTGTCAGACATGTGCAGATGTTTTCATAGTAGCACATTTTCCTACAGCTACAACTACTTTCATCAAAAATGTTTATTACATTTTTTCCTTCATAATTGCCACATCCAAATGTGCATATATCTTCTTAGATTGCCTCACAGTTATTGAAAATATTCCAGCTATTTGTAAACCATATTTTTCACACATTATGGAACTATACTGCTTTTCCATCACAACCTACTCTGCTGTATTTAATATTTCAGTTTTTTTTATAATTTCTTACATTCACTACTTTCTGCTTTTTCTTAGTTTTTTTGGCAGTGTGTGTGCTTCAACTTTTATCTGTTATAATGTTACATGTTAAAAAACTATAAATGTTTCTATTGAAAACAGTCGGAACATTTCACTTTTGGAAATTTCAATAAATGTATCTGTTTATAAAATGTAACAGATTACTGGAATATGAGACTTAATGCTTCTGAGGAAGAAAGCTATTTCTAAGATTAATAATGTAGAAAATCAATACCTTATAGTTTTTAATAGCATGATAGAAAATTCAAAATACAGAATAAAAAGTTAGAAATAAATTCTTACCATTCTTCAAAATGTGTGAAGCCCCAAAAACTAGGAAAATATTAACCTTTCTGGTCATGACATAAAAAGTTATTTTTTATTGTAAAATATCAATAAAGTAAGAATATGTTCATTAAAGAGGCTAAACTTTCAAATATAAAAAAATTATCAAAGAGATGAAAGGCAAGAAAATTTGTGATACACAAGATAACCAAAAAGTTTGGAAAGATATCTTGTCAGTTTCATTTGTTGCAAGTTTTTATTCAAAAGAAGGCATAAACAGGTATATAAAGGTATAAGTGTATTCCATTCAATTGATAGTTATCTTTATAGCATAGTATATAATGGCAACATAACTAGGCAGAAAGAGGGTTACCAAATTTCCAAATGGAAAAACTGGGACTTTTTTTTTCCCCATATGTCTTGACACTGTAACAGCTCTGAAACAGTTTAAATAACAAGTGACATACTTTTTACCATTTGCTAAATAATCTATATATATATATATAAACATGCCAAAGTTGTCTTTAACCTATTCAAGAGAAAGTTATTACTTCTTCGTTCTCTTCTTTGCAGCTGGCCAGTAATAGACTAGGTTAAGAAAATGTAGCAGAAAGGGAGGGAATACTGTATTGTGTGATTTGTCAAGTGATTCTTCAAGTAAAATATAAAGAAGTCATTAACAATGACAAACTGTACATATTAAACTCGTATTGAAGTACAGAGAAACTGGGACAATTTACAATTTGTACTGTTTTTGATTGTGACAAACAATATAATGTTTAAAAGTGGGATGATCCCAGTTTTACTTGGACTCTTGTTAGCCCTAGACAGAAGCTACTTCTTTCTCCATACAGTATTGTATATCACAGTGGTTATGATTTGAAAATCACAGGTGAGTGATAGGGTATTATGTCAGTGTAGAGTATAGGAGGACATCAGCAGTTATGCTTATTACTAGATTGCATGAATATAATTTCAGAAACATTCCTATGAAAGTATTAATGTTGCAGAGATAAAAATGGTTTTACTCTAATAATTGAATGGAAAATATTAAAGTCCTGCTTAGGATAAAGGTATAATAGATAAATATGCACATGCCTCTACACTTGAATAAACTGTACTGCTATTTCCTAAAATACTGTGTAATTTTAAATGCTCCCTTATGTAATGTATATTTGTAGTCAACCTGTTATGATAGTAATTTATATTGTAAATAACTCACCTTTGATGATAGATGGGATGTGACTGTTGGTTTCCTTACATATTCTATATCCTCAACAAACTCCGTTATATCAATATTCACCAGCATTTTCACCAGTTGTCTTTAGTGATATTATCAAGAGTATTTATTGCGTATCTTGCGATACATTTCCACCACTAACTTGCAACTATTGGCCACTCCTGCTACCTGAGAAATGTAGATAATTGTATGAATGAAATATCACAATTATTATGGATGTTAGCAGTGGGAACCACAGACTAATTTTTATGTATAAAACTTTTAATCCAGAAATAACTTTCAAGCAAGATACAGATATAATAGTTCTGTTTTTATACAAGTCGATTGACAAGGTTTAAAAAAAATGACTACTCTGAAGTACACTCGGATACTATCCAGTGATTGGTTCCTCACTTGTACAATTATATCAAAATATCAATTTCACCGATGCCTTTTTTTTATATTTGTGTAGTATAAGTTATTATGTATGATAATTGCACACCTACAGCTATGTGTTTTTTTTAGATTGTCTAAAGATTCCCAATTTATGCCTTCTCCTATACATTTTCTTAAATAAAAGTTCCAGCTAATAAAAACATTTTATCAAATTAATACATGGTCACTATAAAATTTCTAAACTGCTGTTAAACCTTCAGTGATCTTAGATTTTATTCCGGTCAATTATTACTGGTTTGAAGAACATCTTGATCTCTAAATGTATGGTAATCTAGCAACAAACCTGAAAAATTGTAGAATGTTATGATTTTGTAGTTTTCTATATCTTCTTCTTCTTTTTTATATAGCTTCGAAGAAAAACTACCCTAAGACATCTTCAGCTCCTGAAAGTAGTGAAACATCTGAAAGTTCAGTCCAGCTGGAAAGAGAAATCTCAGCTGACCATCAGAACAATGAAGCAACTGTATTTTATGGGCATGTGAAAGAAGAAGAAGCAGACCTCTCCAGCTCTTCTTGTCAGTATCAAGATGTTGGTACTCAAGCTGCCCAAGAGAAACATATTTTTCTTTGCGGCCATTGCAGCAGGGGTTTTGATACACTGGATGGGTGTAAGGATCACATGATTAAGGTACAGTTTTAGTATGAGACTTCATAAATATGTACAGCATATTGACCACATTTTTAAGCTGAGAAGTTGGGAAAGGGGTTTCATAAAGTCAAAGGATTGAATGGCCACCCTTAGGATGAAATTCCTGAAGTCTGGGGTTGTGACAATCATAAATCACCACCCAGATACTGGCTACATGCTTTCTTTAGCACAGTGATTTTATGAAGCTCTTTTGCCTCAAACTTGTTTTTATACAGGTTCATCTTCCTGTCATCAAAAAAGATAACATCTGTCAGAAAACATAAGTGGCATTCCAAACTTCATCCTTCTGACTGCTGCTCTTGCTTGTCATTTAACAGCAACTTTTTTTATCTGTTTGATGCCTCAAAGATTGTGAAGAATGTGTTTAATTTAAAGAATGTTTGTTAACTTAATAGTATGACAATTTGAAAGGATGTGAAGGCCATGTGAATAACATATACTGCATGTTAGGTGGTTTAAAAACTCATTGTTAATATGTGATGGAACATTTTTGGCTCATTGAGTATCATAACTGCATTGATAAAAAAAAATAATGGGGTTTCAATAGATTAAAAGGTTTTTAGACTACATATTTGTATTATAACCTTAGTAGGGGATATAATAAGTTTGACGTGTAAAAACCATTGTAGTTTTTTATTTATTTTTTATTTTTGGTGGTAACGTGTTTGGGGCTAATGTTAGAAGTTAATGGTCAGAAAAATGTCTAGGTAATGCAATCTATTTTGATGTTTTCAAAGGTGTAAAAGCTATTTGATTAAATAAGGTTATAGTGAAAATTTGATACAAGTTCAAAATGCTTTGAAGTCAAGCAGTTGTGGCTGAACTTTTTATAAGTGTTTTGGTAGGCTGAAGGATATAAAAATCTGCAAGTCAAAATAAGATATTTGTGGAATACATTATTGGAAGGTCTTGGCAGGATGGAAGTATTTAAAGTTCATTGGTTAGAGAAACAGACTATCAGCATTTTAAACCCTATTGCCACGGGTATCCTTTACTGTGCATGACACAAAGTTTGTTTTCCATTCAAAATTTTATTAAACTACTTTTGGTTTATGTTATACAAATTAGTATAGCATAAAATCTTAGCTAATAATCCATATTTCAATAGTATATAAGTTTTAAGTTCTTAATTCTATAAGACAATGTTTTAAAAAATCCTGAATTTCCCCTAGCGTGACACATTTTCTCTTCTCATCTCTGTTTTATCTACCACCCCTCCAAAATGTACAAAATTAAACCTTAATTACTCCTTATAAAATCAACATTGCTCAGACAAACCATAATTTTTATAGCCTTCAATTTTGTTTGGTTACAGAACTCTCTAATAGAAAATCAGACCCATAAGCCATGCCCACCTGTCACATCCTCTTTCAGGATTTGTTAATAGTTCTTCTTACATTTAACTTTATATTACCTATAACCAATAGAAAGTGTAGGTTTTCATCCATCAAATGATGTATAACTTTGTGTTCTGAACAGATAAGTCCCCCATAGGGACAGTGGTAAGTCTTTGGATTTACAATGCTAAAATTAGGGGTTTGATTCCCCTCGGTGGACCCAGCAGATAGCCCATTGTGGCTTTGCTATAAAAAAATACATACAATATTCTGAACAGATAAGTGTCAATTTCACTGTTAGTACAAGCTTTATTCCCATGGGAAAGTTAACGACTACCTTGGATGAATTTGTAATGGGTCTTGTTGCATAGTTAGAAAGCCAGAAACATTTTGAGAGTTAGGGAAATTGTCTACTTTTTGCATGTTATTAGTCTATGTTCTTTGGTGCATCATTTATTTAAATAAAAATTATTTAGTGCATTACTACCATTATTATAAAAAAAAAGTAAGGGCTAACTTTTATCGACAGTTGACAGCAATAAAAAAAATTGGGTAAGTACTTTATTTCTTTTTTTCATATTTCTTTTTTTATCTATTTCTATAAAAGTATTTAAAATGTAAAAATTTAGATCTTTTTAGGTTAGTCAAAATTAAATTAGTTAAAATAAATAATAATATAATAAAAATATTTCATGAGGCATGCATGCGAGCAGCCTGTAGTAGCTTGTGGGTAATGTAATTCGATAGTGTAACATGAACTGCACGTTCCCTGAGTGATTTACAATTTATAATGGCGCGAAAAATAGTTATACATGGTTCAAAGGGCAATAAAACAATAAAATTTAATTAACAGTAGATTTATACTGTAACGAGCTTAAAACTACTTAGGATAAACAAATGTAGTTTCATGTTACAATTTGAAGTCATTCCGGAAAGCAAAAGAGGGTAATTTAGATTTATTTAGATTTTATTTGTTGGTGGTTACGAGGTCAGTCAAATTGACCAATCCCATATAGAGATATGGTAGAGAAAATAACATAAAATATACATAGTTTTACTGAAAGAAATATGCTTGAAAATGTGTTTAGGAGGTTTGAGGGATTGTGCAAAGGGAATTTGAGATTTTTGAGATGAAGAAAAGTATTTTTAATCTTAACATGAAAATTACTTTGCCCATGGACTATTCAAAACAAATACTCAATAAATTCATGGGTAGATCTTTATTTTAGTGTATTAAAAATACTTCATTAAAAAATATGAATTTTTGTATGTAAAAGATTTATAATGTTAACTGAAAGACTGACAAATTTTGTGAAGATATACACACTATATTTCAAGTTAGAAGTATTAAATCTATAAAAACTTTAAATGAGTACAAAGAGGTCATATGGTCAGTCAAACTGACCAAATCTGTGTTGAGAGAGTTAATAATTCATGCATATAATTATACCAATACACATAATGTTCTTTTCATGTGTTTAATTGATACGTTACATGATGCTAGTAGTTCAAGTGCTCTTCAACTTAGTAATGTGATGTAATTAATTTTTTGGTGAAAGTCAAAGATACTTACATATATTGAAAGTTAAAACAACCTTGTTTTATATATAAAATAATTTTATACTCATTTGAGTACTAACTATGTTCAGAACAAGTTAACTGATTTTTCTCGTCTTGTAACGTTCCTGCAGTTAGTTTTCAAAGAAAGGTCTTTACAATGATGTAGTTTCTTTGTTAATTAGTTTGTGATATTTTCTCTTATAAAAGATCAGCAGTCAAAATAAATTAAATCACTAGTGAAGAGAGAAAATAAATGATTAAAAGCAGATTATCATTTCATTTAGACTTAACTGGATGTTGAGTTAAGGTTCTTTCAGAAAGTCTGAGTAACGGTGGTTCCACAGTAATGTTCTTATTTTATAACAAAATGAATATTATCAATTAAACATTAACAATTTAGTTTTAATTTAAGGAAACTTTATATCTTGTAACTTTCAAGTTTGTTCATTTGAAGATTCACACAAATTATTGGACTTGTTACCTTGATAAAGTTTACAGTAATGTATTTATAATGTGTGATTATTTCTCTTGACCATTTAGGATCATAAACTAAAGCTAAATGACACAGAAACTTCTCAGGCTGAAAAAACGACAGGTCGAAAGAAAGGAAGAGATTGGAGTTTTTTAGCTGATGATAATTATGAAACACTGACATTAGAACCTGGAAAACAGACATCAGGCAGGAAGAGACTTAGCACATCAAAAATTTTAGATGATAAGTTTTTCTTTGAAATCCCCAGGAAACGGATTCAAAGGGATGATTATAAACAGAAAAAATTTAAGTAAGGATTTGTTTGTTTTTTTATTGTGTGAGAGTAATATAATAAAGCTGAAGTTGTGTTACACAAATGAATTAAGTTTGTCTACCAAGCATAAAGGTTTTGTTTGAGATTCAATACTTACCGTACGCATGAAATTATTATGATTGGAACTCTGGTTTTGACTTTAGCATCCAAATTGTTCCAATGTATTATTACTAATATTTCAGTTTGTACTGTTATACTATTTAAGCATATATCTTAGGTGAGTGAACAAAGTTCACCTCAGCCCTTTCTTCCTTGATTGGTTAAAAAATTGTGCCAAGATGTAATGATCATTTTAAGGCACTAGTTTTAGTATTTGTGTTGTTGTTACTGTTGAACAATTGGTTGATTAGAAGGCAGGAAGGTCCTAATGAACAAATTTTATTATTTTCTTTAATGTGAATATTGATAGGATTGTTAAATGTAATGACCAGAAGATAGATTGAAAAGGTATAAAATATATGATGGGTTGTGAAACACCGAAGTCCAAATTTGTCAGCCCATATATGTATATACTAAGAATCTGTTTTTACTTTGTATCCAACAGGTGCAATGAAAAAGGTTGTGGGTATCGATTTATATCTGAAGCCAACCTTCAATATCATATACGATGCCATTCAACTCTTGAAAAGCCCTTCTGTTGTCCAGAATGTAGTCTCTTGATTGACCACTGGCGTGGGCTCAGCATGCATCTCTGGCGGTTCCATTCAGTAGACATTGATTTGCACACCTGTTCAACATGTGGTTACAAAACTTATAGCCACTTCAAATTGGATAATCACATGGTAATTAATTCATATTTTAATGGCTGACCAATATTTAATCTCTTTGAGTCAAGGTAAGGTGTGTCAAGAGTTTTGTGTATAAATCCTTACAAGTAACATGTTGCATAAGTTATTAAAGTACGTTTGATGATAGTTTAAACACACCATACTTAATACTTAGTGGGAGTGAACTAACTACAGACATAAATTAATAAAATCTTTAATAAAAAAAAAGGATTATGTAATATGTAACCCTTTCAGTACTGTTAGGTTATATTTATCTTTATTCCAGTGTATGCTTGTGTAGGACTGGTGGGACTTGTATATCCCATAAAAATACTTTGAGCATGTTGTTCCAGTCTTTTTCATGTTTACTAGGTCATTTACACATACTTGTATCATTCTATTTTAAGAATATTAAAATCATACTGAAAGGGTTAAAGCTAGTGGGTAAAACTTGTTTAAACTACACAGCCAACATCAAATAAAGTTATTGCAACACACAAAAAATAAGAAAAAAAAGTTATCAGTTTTTAAGAAAATTACTGAAACATTAGGTTTACACTAACTTTAGAATTTTAAGCTTGTGGACATAAGGGGTGCCTTATTCTGCACAGTTTTATTCTGACACTGTTTTCTATATTGTTAGAAATGTGTTTTAATTGTCTGTTTCATGATGTTTTCACTATGACTTAGTCTTATTTCAGTGATGCCAGCATTAAAACATGTGTCCATAAAGTAAATAATTATACTGACTAGCAGCTAACTTTTCTACATCAGAGGTTACTTTTATAATTTCCATTTTCAACCTTCTTCTTTACATATTATATCAAAATAGTTAATTTCTTATGAACATCACTTACAGTGGCTATTGCCTAACATCCAAACACTACAGGCATGCACAGCGGTGTATGGAACACTGTTTGCCTTTAAAGCTATACATTTTTATATCTACCAGTAAGAACAAAGATTTCCAATCATTTACAATAAGAGCAAGTCCAACACATATTGACCATTTAACTATAAGCACCATTACAAGAACATGGTGTAAAATATATGATGGGCTGGCTGACACACTTGTTTAGGGAGTTACATTCAAAATTTTAATACTATATTACTCATTATAATGTTGTCATCACTAGGCAAAGCATAATTTTCATAGACTTCAAATTTTGTGCACCATTTCTTTACTCTACAATCCTGAGTGAAATGAAGATGTAAAAAGATTTTCCAGAAACTTAATGTTAAAGTTTAGTTTAAACCAGGAAAATGTCTTCAAATATCATTACTAAAGTGAAACAACTGACCAACAAGTCCAAACAAAGAACTCATCTAGGGAATACTATTGCTTGTGTTATAACATTTTCATTGGACCATAGAACAAAGATTAAAAGAATGTAAAAAGGCAACTATACTAACATATCCAAATATACCAGCCTTTATTGAACATAACTACAAAACAGGATATATCATAAACTTGGATCAGCATAGGAATTTGGAAAGAAAGAAAAATCAAAAAACTAACTATCTGCATGAAACTACACCAACTTGAACTCAACAGGCTTGATGATTTGTACATCAATAACCAATGGACAACCACCCTCAATAAACTTTGAAGATAATATGGTAATGCTGTGGTTCCATTAACCCTTTTGAGATGGGTCACAGGTGAAAGGCCATGTCATCTCGTTTGTTGACTCGCATTCAAAATTTTATTGAACTACTATTTCATGAATTTATATCAATAAGTTTGGGATCAAACTGTAGATTATAATTCAAATTTTAGAACTATACATTACTCAATTTATTAATTTAAAAGTAAATATTAAAAACACAGATAAACATCGTTTTTTGTGTGTCACATGGTATGTTGAGTGCAGCACTTGTTCAAATTAGGTGTTTGTGAAGTCAAAATACTAAGTCTATAGTTTCATACAAATTAGAAACTCAAATTACAGATATTGACAAGCTAGAATATAGAATAAGAAGGTCTTATCTTTTCTATTTGCTAAGATCTTGCTCACCTAATAAATCAAACACAGTGGCACCCCACTCACCTCTTTCATTTTGTAAACACTCTTATATGCACTTACTTCTATATATGACATGAATAACCAATCTGGATGTCCTCCTAGTGGTTTTCTCAGCCTTCCTAATGTACCTAGCACCATTTCTTTCTTTTGAATCAAGATTTCAATGAAGTAGGTTGTGTTTTTAGTCTGCTGAAAATTTCATATTTTTCTAAGGGTAAAATACAGCTTAGTTACTAAGCTTGATAAAGTATAGCAGAATTCTATGGCATTGATGTAGTAATTTATGATTTTTTTAGTTATTCAAAAGTATATATATAATACCTAAAAAAAAATATTTTGTTTTATATCCTCCATGTGCAAAATTTTTAAATGCTTACCAACCCATGTCAAGCAGCAACCAAGTACAAAGGTCGTAACTAGAAAAGATAATTGTTTGCTTTACTTCTTTATTTACTGTTCTGTGTTTTAGGAAAAATAACCTTAAGGATGTAATTCAAAATAGCAATAATCTATGTACATATATACAGCCAAGACAAGTTACTTTGTACAGATCATAGGTCACCTTTTTATGTTATTTGATACAGTAAAATGAGTGCACTTGAGCTGCATCGTTGTAACTTCTGTAGTGTTAGCCAGACATGGGTCAAAGGTCAATATAATAAAAATGCTAAATATATAATGTTATGAGATTTAAGCTATTTTGTCTAAACATTTATGTTTTCGTGTTATAATTTGTGTTCATTCTGGAATGAAAGAGGCATAATTTTTGTTTATTTCTTAATTTTTTTTGATGTTTGCGAGATTGGTCGAATTTACTGAACCCATACAGAAATTAATTACTGAAAATAACAGATAATATATAGATTTTTTTTTAAGAAATGTTTGATAACTATCTGGACATTATAAAGATTTTGCATGTGAAATTTCAAAATTTTCTGATGCATAAAAGTATTTTTAATCTTAAATTGAAAATTATTTTGCATGATAGATAGGCAAGATGTGAAAAGAAAAAAAAAAGGTATGAGAGAAACATTGCTTTACAAACCTTAAAACTTAATAAGAAAATAAATATTTTGCATATGAAAGCATCGTAATGTTTACTGATAATCTGCCAAATGTCTTTAAGATTCGCTTACTAATTTAAAAGTTATAGCACGAAAACTATAACAAGCACAAAATGGTTACGAGGTCCTCACATTGACCGACCCCATATTGAAAGATTTAATTAACC